TCTCTCTCTGTCAAATAAATAAATAAATAAATAAAAATCTTAAAAAAAAAACCAGCACTCAGTGTGGAAATCAAGTCACTTGCTAAATACACCAAGGTAGATACTCCAGGGTAAATATGCTAACTACTCCTTTCATGGGATCCCCATGATGAATCTTATCTGCATAGAAAAAGAAAAACAAACCCAAAACTTTTATAGTACAAATAGGCTTGCTAGCCTTCTATGATGGGGCACTTAGATTTCCAGATACAAGGCATCTATTTATGGAGAAGAGAAGTCTACCTTGGATAGCGGGCCATCTATGGGGCCTGGAGCATTCTCAGGGCCTATGGCCTGTTATCCATGAGCCTCACCTCACCCTCTGCTTACAGAGAAGAAGACAACAGAGCTTGTACTTTACTCACAAAACATTTTTAGATCAAATGAAGGGTCTAAGGATGGTGTCAGGCAGGATGCTTTTCCCAAGTGAAGCAAGGTCCCTTTCTCTTCTCTGCTGTGGCTGCTGAGAAGGTTGCGCCTTCCAGGACGAAGAAGGCAGACGAGACACTGGTGTGATTCTGAGAGACCAAGAAGAGAACTGAAGTTCTCCTGCCCCCAAAATAATTCTCATGCCTATTAATAAATGCTTGAAATGTCTTTAAATGATTCAAGAGAAGACTTAAAATATGAAATATCTAATATTCATGCTGGGCTATAAATGACTGCTATCTAGTTCTTTAGTTCTTGGGCAAGTTTTAACAGGGAGAAAAGCTTAAAAGTGCACAATAGCACTGATTATCTGGAAGGAAAGGGGACCAAGCATCGTGAAAGTAGAAAAAAAGACACGAAATGAGACGTGAGGTATCACAGGCATGCTCAGGTAACCTAGCTATTGGACACTGGGCACGTTCCTCGCAGCATGAGCCTCAGTTTCCCTATTTGTAAAATGGAAAGACTGAGCTGCATGTTCTTAAAGGCCTTCCGACTCTAAAATCCTGTCAGTCAACCCAATGATCAAAAGCAGGGCCTCCACATTGTCCAGCTCAGGCAAGAAGAAGCAGAGGCCCAAGGTCAGCAATGAATCATTTCTCTAATCATTATAACTTAAAGAGGAAAAAAAACCACTTATTTTTGCACAGGACAAAAGATTCAAAAAATGTCAATGGTCAGTATGGGTTTTCCTCAGTTGCCGCTAAGGCGCTCGGTCTTTCTGAGGGAGCTAAGGCCGCGCTGGGGTGAGGCCCTCACTTCACCCGCAGACCAGCAGCGTGCCCACGCCATGGCCTCCTTCTCGGAGCTCGCCTCCATCTACTTGGCCCTCATCCTGCACAGCGATGAGATGACAGTCTCAGAGGATAAGATCTATGCCCTCATTAAAGCAGCAGGTAGAAGTGTTGAACCCTTGTGGCTGGGCTTGTCTACAGAGGCCCTGGCCAGTGTCAACATCGGGAGCCTCATCTGCGAGGTAGGGGCTGGGGGCCCTGTTCCAGCAGCTGCTGCTACACCAGCAGGAGGTCCCACTCCCCCCACCATGGCTGCCCCAGCTGAGGAGAAGGAGCTGGAAGCAAAGGAAGAAGAATCTGAAGAGTCTGATGATGACATGGGCTTTGGTCTTTTTGACTAACCGTCTTCTGTAACACAGTTAATAAAAAGCTGAACTCTTGGGGCGCCTGGGTGACTCAGTTGGTTAAGTGGCTGACTCTTGATTTCTGCTCAGGTCATGATCTCAGTGTCGTGGGATCGAGCCCTGCATCCTCATTGGGCTCCATGCTTAGTGGGGAGTCTGCTTATCCCTCCACCCCTCTCCTTGCTCGTGCTCTCTCTAAAATAAATAAATAAACCTTAAAAAAAAAAAAAAAGCTGAACTCTTAAAATAAATAAATAGGTGGACAGTATTCTCTGAGTCCAGGAAGACAGATGATGAAACTGGCATCACTGGCTGCCCAAAAGACATCACTCCTTCTCCCTGGCTGGAAAGGCCCAGATTCTGTTTGGTTGTGACACTCCTCTCTCAGTGATGGAGGTAAGTCCTAATTCATCTCAACTGGTCAAGACAATCCCACTCCTTGCTAAAGGGACATTTGACCAACTCCTGGCCAATGAGACATGGCAGAGTCTGCTGGACACTTCTGGGAAAAGCTTCCTCGCTCTTAAGAGACACTCAGGGGAGAGATGCCTCCAGTCCCCTGGACGTTGCTGCTTCTGCCTGGGATGTCTGAAATGGCTACAGCCATCTTACGATGTCAGGGGAGCTCTCTGAGGACAGAGCTGCCACACTGAAGACGACAGAGCAGGAAGGATCAGGAGGATCCATGCATCAAAGTTCCTCAGGAGATGGTGGGCATGATGTGATAATAGAACAACCTGGAGCCACTTGGCGAAGGTCAAAAGGAACAAACTCACAGCAAGTATCAGGAGAAACGCCTTTATGCGGCCAATACCTAACTTACAAGAGCTAAAATATTTGCTTCAGGGGAAGTTTAGAAAAGAGTTTTGGATGATAGCCTATAATATATGCTTAAGAACAATTAAGAGGACATCAAAATGCATCCCTCACCTTGAAAACTAAGAATCACAGAAAATAAATATGCTGCTCTGCATGTCACCTCTTGATGGCCTTGTCAAAATGAATGCCAGCCATGGCAGCCAGGACAACAGTGCTTATGGGGCAGGTTCTCTGTCCTTTTCCCTTCATTCTGGGATCCCTTGTGTAACCTTTGCACCCACCCCCCACCTCTGACTGCCCTACCCTCATGCAGCCGAAGAGCTGCAGAGTAGAAAATGAAGAGTTTCTATCAAAAATGCTGTAGGAATTTACCTTTTCTATCAACTTCGTTTCGATATCTGTTTCTTAAAACTGAAGTCTTCCCAATTTGGTAATGGAGAAACTCAGTGATGCTGAGAGCACCCCTAGCTCACGTGCAGGGTCTACAGTATCTGGAGTTGTAAGGGATCTTGAAACGGTCAGTCATCTTCATGTCTCAGTAGCCTCGGAGGGGAGGCCTCTGGTTCAATGGAGAGCAGTACACCTCAGCAGCCTCCTCAGAAGCCACTTCCCTGGTGGGGGAGGCAGAGGTGGGGACAGGGCCATGTCGGGAGGAAGACAGGCAGGCAGCTCCCCAGCTGCCTTTAAAGATGCTTTTGGCTGAACTGCCAAATCGGAGTGTTTTGTCCTAAAGGGCGAAGGCACAAACACGAGCACCTTCCTTCCTGAGGGTGCCCTCCCCTCCTGCCTCAGCCGTCTGCGCATGCATATGCAGCATTGAAAGTAACTCTCCATGCCCTGGTCAGCACTCCAGTTTCAAGGCCATCTCACCCTCTGGGGCAGGCAAACCACATAATGACAGAAGATCATTTCCATACAAGGGCCTTCCGGTAGTAAAAATTCATTTAGGAGGAAATAAATTTGAATTGAATTTACTAAACCCAAAAAAATGTAAATCAGGGGAACATTCCTAATGAAACTGCAGCTTGGTTTGAAGTTATCTTAAAGTTGCATTTCAAGATACAGGTTCGTTTCTGCACTGAACTGATTCACTGCATAGAAGCCCAGGTTCTACTAAAGGGTCCTCGGAATGTCAGATTTTGAAATTAATAAAAATTCATTTCACTTTGGTGCTTCTGGTCAAAAATTAATCATCCTCCAGTTTGCTCCTATTCAGTCACTGATTTAAATGTAGGAGAAAACTTCACTTATCTGAATGTTTTTGGAGGAAGAGAAAGGAAGAAAGTCTTGTCTAAACTGATGGGAAAAAATCCGAATGGCTGACTTTTGAAGAAAATGGTTCTAGTACTTGTAGAATTGAACATATAATAAGCTAAGATTTAAATGAACACTAATAAGTAAAATTGAGTTAGTCACTGAAAAATTACAATCCATAATAGACTCTTATTACATAATAATGAATTACATTATATCACTGAGTCTTAATTTTTTAAATCAATGGGAAACACAGTCTGTGTCAGAATTCCTGGGGTACAATTTGAATTTAAGTTACACAGCATTCAGGATTTAATTGGGCATTTCCAATGGTCAGTGAGTAGCTTTAGTAAATGCAAGATGCAGGGAAGCAGGAGAGGGAGACAGGGAGAAGGAGGGGGAGAGTAGGAAAGAGGGGGAGAGGGACAGGGAGGGAGGACAGATGAGGAGGAGGGAGGGGGAGAGTGGAAGGGAGGGGAAAGTGGGGTGGGAAGGGGAGGAAAGGGAGGGAGACAGGCAGAGAGAGGGGATCCACTCAGGAAAGAATAAATAATTCTTAAATTGGGAATCTCAATTTACAAGTCTTGGTAGAGAAAATCAGCCAAGAGAGTGGAGGGATTTAAATTTCCTAAGGGCATAGTGTACCCAGTCTGGGCTGTAGTGGGACCTTACTGCAGTCTCCTTGTTCTGACCACTTTAGCTCCCATCTTAGAAGAACAGGGTGGTGCCCCTGGAGGACGGGGTGCTTCGGGCTAGCCTGTGCCTGGTAGAAAGCCAGATGTACTGGTGGGCATGGGACTGCTGACCTGGAAAGGACCAGAAGCTGTTTTGTGGAGCAGGCCCAGCCCATCCATTCTGAACCAGAAGGCAGGCTGCCAACAGGTTCTGTCCTGCTCAAAACTACAGAAGCTCTAGTGTCTTCCCTGCCTGCTACCCACCCTTGTTCCTATCAGCTCTGGACCTGCTGGTCTACGGGATTTTAGAAGACCCTGGAAGAAATGCTCACTGGAGACGGCAAGAGCTACACATACAAGAACCCTCAACTGTACCGCTCTCCTTGCTGCTTCCCCGGACAAGGCCAGAGAGCTCCAGGAACCTCTCACTCCTTCCTAACTCCCCTCTTATCAGAGTAAAGATTAATCGGACATCCTGCTTTTACACTTCAGTGTAAATGTGTTTATATTCTGGCTGGGACTGCTGACGGCCTTCCAAAAGTGGTTCAAGACAGAGGGAGTCTGCAACTGCAATTCTATACTCCTCATTTGCAGAAATACTATTTTCCATTATGATTCATGGTAATAGGGAGTGTTTCAGCTGTGTTATGGGTTAAGCAGGCCAGCCTGGAAACCTAAATGCCATTTACAATTTTCTACGTTTAAAACACCAACCTAACAATGAATAAAAGAGCAGTTCAAAAATTGGGGACCTTCTAGAAATTGTTTTTGGGTGAAAAACTCAACATCTCTTACCAATGGGACTCAATGCAGGCTTTCCCTACATCTAAGCTAGGAAATCTTGACTATCCTTTATCACAGTTTATCACCTGGATTCATTAATTCCTACTAAGAATGTGGTTAACTGTAGAGTGAGCTGGCAAATCACAGGTCTTCGGGGTAGATGGACAAGAGGAGCTTCCTGAAACAACAGGAGGGCTCCGGACTCCTTGTCCCAACTATACTGCATTCAGTCAGTCTGGCAGATGAGCTGTCAGAAGAGAGGCTGAAAGAGTCTTACAAGTTCCATATTCCAAAAGAAAGCCCTGGTCTACCACAGCCTGCTCTTGAAGACACAAGTACACCTGGGGGCCCACCCGATCTAAATTCTCTGGAAGCTTGGGCCATATGGCCTCAGAGGTCTCTGTCTTCCAAGGGCTGGGAGCCCACTGACATAAAATGAAGGGGTAAGCTGCTGGGGACCCCTCCTGACCTGTCACACAAGTTTCTGAGTTTGGAGCTGAGAGGAGGACCCTTACCACTTTGACATTCACTATCTCTAGCAGGCTTGAAATGCAGGGTAGAGAATTAGATGTATAATCTTGTGGCTCCCTAAGAACCATGTCCCTGTTCAGTTTTGGATGCTAGCCCATCCACCCCCACCCTTATCCTCATCTCTACCCCCGTTTCCTATAGTAATGGTTTCCTATTTTTGGCACTAACACCTTTCATTTTGTCCAAGACTAGAAAACGCTTTGATAGAAGGCAATTTTTTTCTTGTGACAACAATGTTTCCCAAAGGAAGCTGGCTCTGAAATGACAGAGAGGTCAAATCTCAGACATATGTAGCTGCTAACAGTCTTAAGCACATCTAATCCAATCCCATCTTTACCGCGGGAGAAACCGAGGCCCAGAGGGGCAGCAACAGAGGCACAGCCACAATCCCAAGCACTGTGCTCCCTCCTGTCCTGTGGGAAACCATGACTTAGTTCTGAGTCCTGGATCCACGGAGAGGGTCTCACCCCGGCTCCGCTCACCAGCCATGGGATCAGGGCAGGCTTAAGGACCGCCCCCGCCAGGCTTTGAGGTATGCACACCCACTCCCCTTGAGTTGCTGTCTGGACTACGTAACAAAGGTGTGTACAACACAGAGCACAGTGCCAGGCACGTGAGGACTATTACTGTTATCCCCGCTATCATTATCAGTGATTTAAAAACACACGCACACATCTCTTCTTCCATTAAGGGAAGGGTATTTGGTTCATTTACAAGACATTAGAACATATTCTCTATCTTGGTAACTTGAAACTTTTCTACCAGATCCCATCATAGCAAAAAAAGACATCCTAGTCAGTCTTTGCTCTTGGGAGTAAAGTGTCCCCAAGTGTCCTCACAGGACCTTTGTTTGGAAAGTGCTCCTACTTTCCCCAGGGGTGGACTTTTTCAGATATCCCAGTGTAGGATACAGGGTAGAACCTGATGAGCCTGAGG